TAGCCGATATTAATTCTGGAGCTCCAGAATTGGATAGTGGAGGTTCATCACCAGGTGTGCAAAAGGTATAACTTACATTTATTTTAATTTATATTAAATAGAAGATAACAATGATCACACACACATTTGATTTAACAATTATTATTTAATCGTTATTCTTTAAAAACCTGTTTTAAATATATTATTATCGCACAATTTTAATTATTACCTTTTATTCAAAATTAATTTTTTGCAGAAATTACCTGGAGAAGAATTAACGTTCGAAAGCATGAAAAGAATTTTGACAGAGAGCAACAATAATCAAGTAATAGAAGAAGAGAAGCGAATGCAACTTTCTCAGTTCTTTAGAAATGCACCATTCCAAGATTTAGTATCAAAAACACAACCAAAGGTTTCATTAATTAACGTATATTATAAATTTATTATCAATTTTTACAGCTTTCTAATGTTTCCTTTTTTGTTCACAGCACGATGTTTTACAGAGTAAGTTGTCAGAGATATTTAATACACTGTCCGTTGATCCACGCAACACGGTTCCTACGACCGGACCACAGACAGATACTAAACCAAGTCAAACTCCAGCTTACGAAATTCATTTCCCAGAGTTGTTTGTATATTAAACTACTAATGTTCCTGTTGCATTAACATTAGATGCCACTTGGTGCTACAAATACTTCAAAACATTTGATCCAATTGGAAGAAAGAATTTTACTAATTGATCAATGAATGCTTCAAAGCATTTCTATTAAGCATCAAATGGATTGTAGCTATTAACATAGTGTTGCATTATATTAAATCGTCTATATATTACTAAGTGTATGAACAGTAATTCTTATACTTTAAAGATTGACTTATGTACATAACAGAGAAAATATTTTTGTTTTATATTGTTAGATATATATTTTGTATTGAGTTGCTCGTACTAATTTTATTTATTTTTAATGAGTAGATATCAAATACCAGTGTAAGTTGCAATAAAAATAGTTAATTGTTTTTATAAAAAATGGTTAGTATTTTTATAAAATTATCAATGGTTTTATAGAATGATTTTATGGAAGTAAAGAGACGGGAATTTCTTATACACATGTAATGATTCTGTAGAATCATCAGAGATTTCGTAAAATTACCGAATCAACTGTTTTCATTAATATAGGTTGACTCAGAATCACGGTTGCGTGATGCTACAAATGCTTTGAAACATTCTTTGATTGTTTAATTAGTAAAATTCTTTTTTCTGATTGATCAATCAAATGTCTCAAAGTTATTTTTAGTGATTTGTAGTGACTGCATCCTCTGACTAATATGTCGATACTTCAATGAACTTGGAGCACAAAAAAAAAGTTCACATAAATATCGACATAATAAGTCATCCTGTATACATAAATCAGGCTTCAGCAAAAATTAAGACAAATAATCTAGATATATACTATATTCCGGCAGTATATTCCGGCAGTAGATCAATTAAGTAAATGTGCATTAAGTAATGTAAATGTGTTACTTATAATCATGTTAATGTAAAGTTAAAAATTGTATATCTGTGTATATCGCTTTATGTATATTCTAGATCGAAAAACAATTTTCTTTTATGGCAGAGTCAGTGATTGAAAAAAGTTGCACAATGTATATTTATAAATATAGAAAATAGTTCGAAATATTTTGTAAATATACATATATTAAAACACATGTTGTTAACCTGGAAAGATTTATTATAGTGCAATGCTTATCCTTCTTACATTTTTCTCCAGTTATTCATATAATTATGAAGAAAAAGATGTTTAATGTATACGCTTGAGGAAGCGGGGAGTAATTTTCTGTTGTACTTTATCTTATGAAAACCTGTAGCATTACATTACCAATTGTTCTTTCCTTTATTGAATCTTTGTACAAAATACTCGAAGGATCACCAAATACATAGTAAATGGAATGAACACAGGTTTTATTTTGCAAATATCTGAAGGGTCCCTTTATTCAACCGCTCATCATAGGAACACGGTTAGTCGATTTTAAATCAAGTACACAAGTTAAGTAGCATTTCTTGGAGAGCAAGTAATCAAACAACATATGATCCCTCATATGTTGACAGTGTTAACATATCTTCATGGATGACAGTCCATGCAACACTGTTTGATTATTTTCGATCTGCAATTTATAATTTTTTGCATAAATTGTAGGTCGTTTCCGAAGTCGGAGAAACGTTTTCAATGCCTCATATGTAACTTCATAAAAATCGCAAATATATTTTAATGTACGAGCGATTGAATTAAGGCATTAGAGTAGGATGTGCCATTCGTGCGAAGACTACTTAACGTAATTTCATGCGTTTTTTTTTCTTTTTCTTATATTGAAATGCGTTTGGTCAAATTTGGTACGCTCTAAGAGGTATTTCAAGGTTCTACCTTCAGCAGCTCCACATCAAAAATAAGAACGGCATTTGGTGGGATAGTGTGTCTCTGTCAAGGTTAATATAGTTCACTGTTTGCTCTTTTTTTATATATTAGATTATAAATAGAATTATACTAAATAATTACACTAGAACCTCGTGATAGTAAATTTGAAATAGAGTACAAATTTCTTCCAGTCTAAACTCATGTGAGTAGTGTGAGAGGAGGTAAAATCGCACCTAATAAAATCCTAAATTTCACGATTTGAAAATGAAATAAGAATGAATGTTTGTTATATCATTCAGTGTCCCAAATAATGCGCTATTACGAAGGTTCCAGTGTATTCTTTTTGTGTGTTCGACCTGTATTTTATATCATTTTGCATTAAAGGATATATTCCAGGATGCCCTCGGCTACCATAAGCATAGTCTGGAGAACAGGTCAGCTTGGCCCGCTGCCCGACGCACATTTGTGCGACTCCTTGGTCCCAGCCTTTAATTACTTCGCCCTTTCCAATTTTAAATTTAAACGGCATACCGCGGTCCCTGCTGGAATCAAATTTCTTCCCATTGTCGAGAGTACCTATAAATACATACATATGTTAATGAAATCATTGTATATTTTTATACAATCTTAAGATTCTACAAATTATTTAGAGAGATAAATATGCGATATTTTCAGAAATTGGAATTGGAAAGTATTTAATATAATAATATTAAATAATATTATCAGAAATGAGAAGTAATGTGTTACTTTTCAATCATGGTTATATTTGTGTAATGCTATCACATAGCAGCAGCTTTGAAAAATTTTTTTCAGCTATTCCTCTGTTTCTTCAAGCACGATATATAAATATAAATCAGAATACCAATTCTTTATAATAAAATATTCACCTGTATAATGCACGACCACTGTTTGACCGGTCTTTGGGTAGGTTTGACCTGCACATATGAAAATATTCATGAAATGATATCAGATGACAAAACCTAGACGAAAATACATTGCTGTTTAAAATTAGTAACAACATAAATAAGGCAAAGTCGCGACGTCGCTCAGAGTCCATTTTATTTCAAATAAAGAACATCGGCCACGCTAGTTCGCGGCATTTCAGGCCACGAGATAAGGCCACGTTGTGGAGCAAAATTTTCGGAGCATCTAGTATAGCGTGGTACGCGCGCGAGCATGAGAGAGATGGAGCGAGCTGCGAAATAAGAAAGAGGTTCTCTCGAGGAGAAGCGAGAACGGCAAATTCGGCGAGTCTCTAGAAAAATAAAACTGCATAATTACCATCTCCAGGACTTAAGACTTCGACATCCACGCCCATGGCTACGTGTCTTTTCTCTTCGTACTACAACAAGAGGCTCTCCTCTCGAGATGGCGAGGTACGCGAAGACCGTTGAGATTTGTCAGGGTCAACTCGTCAGAAAAGCCGTTGAGCAAAACTCGTCGTGAGAAGAAACTATTCGCGGCGCCTTGGAAAACGATGCCGCTCCACTACGCCGTTCAATGAATACGAACCGGGTATATGAGATACCTAGAAATATCATCCATTGATGTATCCATATATATACGTCGATGATATCATCCGATAAAATGGTTCCTGTCGCCGAAAGAGGCCGGAAGATGGCGATTTAGACAGAAAAGAAGATTCTTGTCCAGAAAAATAACCGAAATACATGCTGTGTATATTTAAAAATAATGCGGGGTCTACAATAGAAGTCGTAACAATCGTAGAGTCTTAAGTCGTAGAAAATTGATCAATCTCACAGTCGAATATGAGAAGAATAATCAACTATGATTGGTCAATTTTCTACGACTTAAGACCTTACGATCGCTACGACTTCTATTGTAGACCCCGCATTAAATATATTTTCGACGGTTTTTTCTCCCAGTTATGCGGGGTCTACAATAGAAGTCGTAGCGATCGTAAGGTCTTAAGTCGTAGAAAATTGACCAATCATAGTTGATTATTCTTCTCATATTCGACTGTGATTGGTCAATTTTCTACGATTTAAGATACTACAACTGCTACGACTTCTCTATTGTAGACCTCGCATTATAACTTTGATTTAAATTCAAAATCTTCGTAATTGAACAATCACGTGTTTTAATGGCGCGTTCAGCAAACTCAACAGTTTTGCAACCGTTTTATGATTGTCTGCTGAGATAGGACCATTCTTCTAGATCTAAAAGTATGATCCAATTAGCGCGAAGGAAACTTCCAACAGTTGCAAAACAAACGTTCTGCTGAACGCAGCCATTTTGGAACGTTCAACGGGAATGTTGGACGTCCGATATCCAATTGGAGAATTTGTTTCCTAGAGACAAAAGCATTAGTTAGAATGTTACTAGGGTTGTGTTCCGATAGCTGTGTCGAAAATTTTCTTTTTAGTTAGAAGGTTGGT